CTCTATTTCTGCAAACCATGGAGACCTTTTATTTATGTCTTCTAGTGACACGGACTGGAAACGGCTTCCGGGAAAGAAGATTGTGCATTTATAGGACTCATTTTTCTTGGCTTCCCTGTCTCAGGGGCTATAGTTTGTATTACCTGTCTGGAAATATATATTTGTTTATTTTTCTGCCCCTCTGGCAGCAAAGCTGCTGGTTTTTACCAGACTCACCTTTTAAAAACTATCATTCTTAACAAGCAACCTGGTGGAACTGGACCCATCCAGGCTCCTGATGTTATTATCACCTGAGGCTCTAGAAACTCTGATAAATATCAGTGAGTGTTTCTCTATTTTTTCTTTATTCACCTTCCAGTGTTGTGAAGTTATTAGGATTGATATACAGCTTACACTTATTTTGTGAAGACAACATTCATCTGCCTCTTCATTCTGCCTTAGCCAGAAGTACCGTATTATCTCCATGCTTGGTAATTTTCTCACTGGATGCCAGACATTGTGAATTTAGCATCTTGGTTGCTAGATTTTGTTAGATCTCTCTAACAAATGTTGGATTTTGTTCTGTTGTATGACTAAGCTACTGGGGAATATTTAGCTTATTTTGAGGTTTTTAAACTTTGTTAAACCGTGTCCAGCGCAGCCTTTAATCTAGGGCTAGTTTACTACTAAGCTGAAACCACTTTGCAGTCTCTACAAGTCTCCTTCGAAGGCCCCATGTGTTATGAGATCTTCCTACTCTGAGTCACGGAACCACGAACTGTTCCCAGATCTGTGACTTACCCTGTGTTTTTCAGCTGGTTCTTCCTCCCTGGTCTTGGATGGATTCGCCTACGCATGCGTAGATCAGAACCCAGAGACTTGGGATTCCTCCGCAGACTCTCGGAGTTCTCACTCTCTCTATGCTGCTCACTCTTCTCCAGCACCTGCTTCTCAAATTCGAGGCATCTTCACCTCCCCTAGCCAGCGCTCTATCGCTGCAACCCATGGAGAGCTTCTGGTTTGCCCGTTCTAGTCATGCGTCCTGGAAACTCTCTTCAGGTAGTAAGATCATGCAATTAAAGGGTTCAGCTTGTTGCTTTCCTTTGTCTCGGGGCCATAGTTTTGTACTACCTGCCCAGAAATATATTTTTGTCCACTTTGCTAGTTGCTTAGGGAAGGAGAATAGATCTGGTTTGTTACTCCGTCTTGGCTGAAAAGAAAAACTAAAATATTTTGATTAGGAGACAGAAGTGGTTTCATGCATGATTTAAGGATACTGTGGTTGCCTTTTAGAAAATGACTTAGAATCACCTCCATGCAAAAAGGAGACACCAGTTCGAAGCAACAGCCCAGGGCAGAGATAAGGGTTTCCTGGTCCAAAAAAAAAAAAAAAAAAATTGTGGTGAATAAGTGAGCAAGCAAGAGAGTGAGAGAAAGATATCAGAGGAGTGTTTCGGATGCAAAATAGATAATACTTGCTCATTATCTGGATGTGGTAGGTGAGAGAAAGTAAATCAGGATGACTCTTGTCAGCAGCCCAACCAATTTTCTTCTCCTGATTTGCCTTTTTCCCCTGTTCTGGCCAGCCTGTCCTTTGAGCAAATCTCCTTCCCTGTTTCTTACTTCGTTTCTGAAATCAGAATCTGTTGAACAGAAAACCATGTGAAAACAGAGAGAGAATTCAGTCTGCTTCTGGTTGACCCTGATGCCTCAACAGAGACAACTAATATTTGGTGGCCCATATTAAATAAGGAGAGACCCCAACAGGAGAGGACCCCACAGAACAGAGTCAGACAAGCTAGATAGGATTCATTATTATAACACGGTCGGCAAGAGTCTAGGCAAGCTGTGATTTGAAGGTTTCACTCTACAGGGTATTCCAAGTCAGGTTGAGGCTCCAGTTAGGGGAAGCTCAGAAACATATAGCTTGTTCCATCTTGAGGCTGAAAGACCAAGTACAAACTTGCTAGGATGTGAAGGGTTAGCCTATTGGTGCTAGTAGTCTCTAGTATTTGTATTTGAAACAAGAATCACTTCCTCTGGGAATCTGGACCTTTGGTTGGAAAATGTGTCCTGGGAGATCCTGGAGCATGAGGCCTAAAATATCAGGAGATAGAAAGTGGTTTATGTCAGTGCTATGACTGAAGTGACCCAGTCACCCATGGGGACTGGGAGAGCCTAAGGGTGGAAGTCAGGCTGTGTCTGAGGACACGGGACAGTTCTGCAGTTCTTCTCAGTGTCATGTAGTTGGACGCTGCATTATTCTGTGCCTGCTTTTCTATGTCTGAGTTTTTTTTTTTTTTTTTTTTTTTTTTTTTTTCTCCGGTACCGGGAACCGAACTCACGACCTTGCGCTTGCCAGGCAGGTGCTTTTTGCCGCTGAGCTAAATCCCCAGCCCTATGTCTGAAGTTTTGAATCTTTAGTTAGACTAGTGGGTAAGTTTCCTAGAGCTGCCATTACAAAGCACCACAAACTGGGTGACTCAGCCACAGATATTTACTGTCTTACAGTTGTGGAGGCTGCAGGTTCAAAATCAAAGAGTCAACAGGCCATGTATGCTTCATCTTTCATCAGAGACAAACTTGGAAGGGGTTGGAATCTTTACCTTACTGGGCCAGGTATGAGACACCCCCAAATGTGAGCCCACATTTTCATATGAAGCTTGTGAGGAGGAATTCTGTCCTGCCTCTTCTAGCTCCTGCTGCTTGCTGGCAATAGCTGGCGTTGCTCAGCTTGCAGCTGCATCGCTTGTAACTCCCCTCTGCCACCCGTGTCAGCTGTGTGTCACTGTGACAAACACCCGAGATAATCAACTCGCAAAGAGGAAAGGTTTGCTTGGCTCACAGCGTTAGACGTTTCAGCCCGTGTTCAATGACCCCACCGCCTTGCGCCTGTGGCCGCACACCATGGTGGGAGAATGCGGCAGAAAACACCAGCCGACCTCATTCGTGGCTGAGGAGAAAAAGAAAGAGGAGGAGGAGCCGGGTTCTCCTTGCACGCACATCCCCGGCTAAGTTTCACCGCCTCTGCACAGACGCCGCGCTGGGGAACAAGCTCTCAGCTGCGGCACCGCGTCCTCCGTAGTCTCTGTCTCTGCGTCCATTCTCTTCTCACCTTGGAGTAAGGCTCAGCCCGCTCCAGTATCGCCTCATCTCATTAGTTTCACCTTTAGTAACCCTGTTTCCAAGTAAGGTCATCTTCTGAGGTCCTGGGAGTTAGGACTTCGCTATATCTTCTGGGGGACATGACTCAACCTGTAACCAGCACACTGCGGGAAGCGCAGACTGAACTCAGGTGACCTAGCAAAGCTTTCCGTTCTGGGTGTGGGGAGGGCGGGAGAGGGAAGGGGAGCTAAAAAGTGCTGAGATGTGATGTACACATTACCAGCACCCCGCACGACACATTCACTATGTGCCACAAACACATACTAATAGACACGAGCTTAATAATAACTGGTAATTAAATAATTCAGTAATTTAAAAAGAAATATCCCGAAAAAATTAGAATTCTTTGCCAGTTTTAAAAAAGAAAAAAGAAAATTAAGGGCTGCAATTTAAAAAGAAATAGTTTTTATGTAAGGCCGAGAAATGTCTTTAATTTTAGTGGAATAGCATTTGGATATTAGTTGATATGTACATTCTCATAAATTTTAAAATTAACCCTAGGGCCCTTCCCCTACTCTCGAGGTATGGGTTGTCCTATAGAAAGTTGTAACAGAAAAATTAGAGAACAGATGAGTAAAATATTATTATTTGAGTTTCAAAATTTAGGTCCAGAAGAAGGCAAAAAGCCTTAGAATAACTCTTGATTAATCTCAGCTAGATCTTTTTTCCTTTCCATTTGAAATTTTATTTATTTATTTATTTATTTATTTGGTACTGGGAATCGAACTCAGGACCCTGCGCTTGCCAGGCAGGTGATCTGCCGCTGAGCTATATATCCTCGGCCCTCCATTTGAAATTTAGATATGAAGTCTCCAGAAGAAGGGGAAGGAGGGAGAAGGGGAACATCTGTGAGGAAGCAGAATAGGCCAGGGTCCCCAGCTCAGCCCAGGGTCGGTTCCTGGACAGGAAGGAAGTGGGACCCTCCCCACATTCCCATAGGTGTTTAGGCTACAAGCAAAAGTGTACTCTGCTTCCGGGAAGGTCCTAGAACTTGTGGAATTTTCCTGTTGACGGGATAGAAGCATGGCTGTCTTCTGACTCTCTAGGAGGGCACAGAGGGGCCTAGCGGTCTGAGGGGTGCGGGGCGCTGAGTGTGGCCCTAAGGTGTGGAGCGGCTGAGTGATGGACATCAGCAGATGTAGGTACAGACCAGTGACAGCTGAGGGCCAGCGTTCCCTTCCTTCCTGACCATCCTGTACCTCAAGCTTGAGTCCACCCCACGGACAGCCCCTGAACTGATACACTAGGGTTTCACATGCAACAAGGCGCACAAAATAACTGTTTGGTTACTAGAAAATAAAGTTGCTTTCTTTCAACCCTTAATTTGTGGTATAAAGTTTATTTCAGCCACCTAAAGAAAATGAATATTGGGCCTGGGGATTTAGCTCAGTGGCACAGCGCCTGCCTGGCAAGCGCAAGGTCGTGAGTTCGATTGCCGGTACCGGAAAAAAAAACCAAAAAAGAAAGAAAGGAAGAAAATGAGTATTTTATGCTTGCAAACTGCATCTTATTGGTCGGTGGGCAGTGGGAACTGAAACTGCCCTTGGGGCAGCCCCGGGTAACCCAGGCTCTTAGTGGTTTTGGACTCTTAGTGGTTTTGGACTCTTAGTGGTTTTCCCAGGCTGCAGAAATTAAGGCTGAGATGCTGCTGATTGGGCCTCCAGGAAGGCGGGAAGGGGAAGAGGAAGGGGTGGGCGGAGGCCCATGACTAAACCACTGAAGTTACGTTTTCAATACCTGATTTATTGTTCTGAAAGGTACTGCAGCCTCTCAGGGCGGAAGTCTGAGAAGCTCTGAAACTTGAGGTGCTTACAAAGACAACTCTGCTCTTGTTGCTAACGAACGAGCACGTCTGCTTTCTGGTATCCACATCACCAGCTCGCGCTCCAATAGCGCAAAGGACGGACGTAAAATCCTCAGAGAACAAGGAACCGTTCGGTTTGGTGGGTTGTAAGTTCTGATTTAAAATCATCTCTTCTCTGAAAAAAATACTGGCCTTCCATTTAAGGGGGTCTCATCACTGGTCCAAGAAGGTAAGTGTGCTGGTCCTCGACGGTCCTTTTTGATGGAAGAGAGGGGGAGAAAAGTAGAAGGGCAGAGAAGGACAGGGAACAGAAGCCACCCAGCCTAAAGGACCTAATTGGAGGGCATTTTGGAGGGAGAAGTTGCTCAGAATGAGTCTTTGGAATTAGACTCAGGTTTAAACATTAGTTTTTCCACTAAGTAAATGACCCTCGAGAAATACATTTCAACTGCTCTCTGCTTTCAGTTTCAAATCTGTAAAATGGCTATGCTTTAAAACGGATTTTGCTTTTTGGACTCTTAGTGGTTTTTTTTCCTAGGTAATCAAATTTGCATTTTATTTCAATAATCCAGTGTAGTAGCAACTTCGAAACAGTCCCCTGGACCCTCACTCTGGCACTCACTTCATCTTGAGTGTGGATGGAACTTTCTATCTAATAAACAGACTATGCCGGAGATAATGGACTAACATCTTTTGTATTAGGTCATAAGATGACTATGGCTTTGGTGTTTGGTTCATTCTCTTCCCAGATCAATTCTGAACAACTCTAAGGCAATGCCCATGTTGTGTGTTGAGGAAGTGAGGGCCTCAGACCAACCATGCAGAGAAGCAGAAGCCCGCTAACAAGCAGGTGAGTGAACTCGGAAGTGGATCCTACAAAAGTGGCCCAAAAGTGTTGAGCCAGAAATACCCAGCTGAGCTCGTCTCAGATTCCTGACTCACAGAAGCTAGAAGATAATGTTTGGTTATTTCAGCTTATCAGTTTCAGAATAATTTGTTACCCAGCAAGAGAGAAATAATACATGGCTAAGGCCCATCTCACTGTAGGCCCCATGTGTCCCCAGCCCCATCATGTGGTTATTTCCCCAGCATTAGAATGCATAATTAGAACAGACATATTCAGCAACCAGCAACATTCCTACGGTAGCTCCCTAACACATACAGTGAGGGCTACAGTGGGCAGAAATACCCAGTGGAAACCCGTAGGGCTGTCTCTACTTACAAAAACAGTAAAGTAAAAAGCAACACTGCATTCTTGGAGGAACTGCAGAGGTTAGTGCACGGGAAAGGAACTGAAAGATACAGGGGCTGTGATTCAACCAGAAAAACAACAGACTATCATGAAATTAATCAGGTGGTCGCTCCACCTGTAGTTGCTCTAGATGTAGTTTATGGCAAGGGCAAAAGCCACACATTTTGTTATGCAGCTATTGACCTGGCACGTGTTTTTGTTTTTCTGTCTGTTAGTAAAGACCTCAGAAGAAACTGACTTTCATCTAACAGGGGAACAATAGAGCTTCACCATGCTACTGCAGGTGTATCAACTCTTCAGTCCCATGCCCCAGTCTCATCTGCAAGGACTTTGACTGCCTTTCCCTTCCATAGGACATGACATTGGTCTGTTCTATGATGACATCATTCTTACTAGACATGGCCAGCAAAACGTATGAACTACTCAAGACACGTTGGTTAGATATTCATGTGCCAGAGAGCGGGAGATGAATCCCACATAAATTCAAGAACTTCCTAGTCTGATGAAAGTTCTGGGAATCCAACTATCTTAGATATGAAAAGATTTCTAAGATGGAAGTCAAGTTGTTGCATCAAGCTCTTCTTTAAGAAAGGCACAGTGGCTACTTGGCCTCTTTGGTTTGGGCAGCAACATATTCCTCATTTGGGTATATTACTTGGTCTCTCTCTCTCTCTCTCTCTCTCTCTGTGTGTGTGTGTGTGTGTGTGTGTGTCTCTCTCTCTGTTGCTGAGAACTGAGTCTAGGGCTTCACGCATGCTAGGTAAGTGCTATACGCATGAACTGTATCTCCAACCCCTTGAGTTGTTACTAGGACTTACTTACTAAGTGACCTGAAAAGTTGCCTAGTTTGTACGGGCACCAGAATAAAAGTAAGCGCTAAAACAAGTCAAGCTACCATGCAAGCTTTCTGCCAACTGGGCCACACACCTCAGAAGATATGATGGTACTTGAGACGTTATGGCTCACAAGGATGGTATTTGGAACCTTTGGCAGGCTGCTACAGACCAATCACAGCAGAGTTATTTAGAATTCTTTTAAGCAACACTATAGCATCCTGTGAGTATAACTATTCTCCTTTTGAGAAACTACTTTTGGCTTGTTGCCGGGCCTTGGAGACCAAACATTTGACGGTGAACTACCAAGCTACCGTGTGACACGAACTGCCCGTTGTGAAGTAGACGTTGTCTGACCTACCAGTCCATAAGGTTGGGCACTGCAGGAGCACGGCATTATCAAATGGAGTGGTATCTACGAACTGGACTTAAAAGGCTCTGAAGGCATAAGTTGCCTGAGGAAACAGCGCAGGTGCCCACGCTCCCTATTCATACTACCTATGGCCTCAAGCATATCTGTGGCCTCACGGGGTGTTTCCTGTGATCAGAATACTTTATCCAGCAACATGGTGTTTTTCAAATCCCTCTGATGAAGGAACTCACTTCGCAGCGAGTGAGGTGAGGCGATGAGCCCATCCCCACGGAAGTCGCTGCTTTGACCATGTTAGCCATCATTACAGAACACAGGAGTGGGAGAGCAGCGGAACAGCGGCCTTTTGAAGCCTGGGCGAGGGTACCGGCCGGTGAGAGACATGCTGTGAGGCTGAAGCAAGGGCCGGCAGCCTGCGGCGAGCGCTCCTAACCAGAGTCAGTTACGCGGTGCCCTGTCTTCCTTTGCGGGCACCGAGGGGATAGAAGCTGAAACGGTTCCTCTCGTTCCCCTCCTGCTGATCCACTCGTACAATTTCTGTCTCCCATCCCCTGCAACCTTAGGCTGCTGATCTAGAAGTCTCGGTTCCGAAAAGAAAAATGCTTCCCCCAGGCTCGTAACAACGAGTCCACTGAATTAAAGGCCGGGACCGTCACCGGCCACTCCGGGCTCCTAGTGCTACCGAGTCCACAGAGAGAGAGCTACTATCCTGGTTGTGGTGGCTGGTCTTGACTGTGACGGGGAAATTAAGCTGCTCCCGCCCAAAGGCTATGTCCTAGAGGGTCTCTCCAGGGCAGCGACGGGGAAACTTTTTCAGTAGTAAGCCGCCAGCTGTGACACGTGTGCCATAGGTTCACTACCAGGGCTCTAGGGCGGGTTTAGTGTACATATTTTGTGATTATTAACTCAATGGAAAGCTGCAACAACCTTCAGTGTAAGTATGATTACTAACGGCCCCAACCATTTGGGAGTGTAGATTTAGAAGCAGGCCAGGAACCATCATTTAAGAGCGCTGGTGAGGGAATCCGAACGGGTACTGGAAGAGGACAGTTATAAACAGCATCTCCGACCACACGGCCAGCTGCGGGAAAGAGGGCTTGCAAGTATTTTCTCTTGTTTTGATACACATGTCTGTATAAATATAAACCAGATATTTCTATTTGCTTCCTTCTTGCTCATCTCCTTATCTCATGGAGGGTTGCCAAGTTAAATATCACCTCAATATTTAAGTTACAGGGTATGAAAGGGTAGCACGCAAATCATCTAGAAGAGGAATAAAGATCACTCAAATCCCAAAAGGGACTCTATTCTCTTTTGATAAAAGAATTAACAACTAGGGCCAGAAAACTATGGCACAACGAATGAACAAAAAACCCCAAAACACTATGGCTCAGCGGCTGGCTGCCTGTTTTTATAAATCAAGTTTTACTGGAACATTTGTTAAGTAATACACTGTCTGTAGCAGCTTTTATGCTAGTGTTACCACTGAGTAGTTGCCTTGGAAATCACATGGCCTGAAAAACCTAAAATATTTACTATTTGTCCTTTAAGAAAAAGTCTTCCTACCTCTAGGTCAGTATGCTTTTGGTGTGGGGGGATTGGTGTACTGTTAGGTAGAAGCATGCTTATTATTATCTTTATTTGGAGGTTAAGTATGAAGATATGTATGAGTGCCAAGCTGACAAGGGATAGACTGGGTGGCTTTGTAATGTGCCACCTTCATCGGGCTGAACTATAGTACCAGAATTTCCTTTGCTGTATGTTTCCAGTTAGGTTGGACACAAGAGAGAGTCTCGTGGGTAATTTGGAGGGTGTGAGTGAAGCAACAGCCCTGTGGTAGCTCACATACTTGGTCTTCTGGTTCTTTTTGTTGACGGGGGGCTGTGACTGGGAGTAGAACCACTCCACAATCTCCTCAACCTTCCTCAGCTTCTCTGACTCCTAGACCAAGGGAAAGAGAGGAGAGAGAGAAGGAGGGAGGGGGAAGAGGGAGAGGAAGGGAGGGGAGGAAGAAGGAGGGCAGTAGGAACTGACACCGGTTTTAGACTGTCCTCACTGGCTCCAGTTTGTACTTGGGAGTTCTAGTTTGTTCTTGCTCTTCCTGTTTTACATCCTGACCACTTGCCTTGGGAACTTCAGGGTCCAGCATCAGATACAATCATAGTAGCTTTATGGAGACTGTTTAGGTAACAACCACAACTGCATAAGGTAAAATCTGTATAATTCTCTGATGAAGCCCTGATGTAATAAAGGCATTTATAAAGGTGCTTGCATTAAGCAGGTTGATTCTTTTATGTTATCCTTTTATTAACTCCTAAGTGTTTTTTTAGTATTACAATTTTTAATTTTTATTTTTATTAGTACATGCTTGTAGTACATAACACTTACAATCATCATGGGAAGTTGGCATGTGCGTCTAACACGTCTTAATTCTTTTTACATTCCCTTGCTCTCCCCTCCACCCCCTCCCTCTCTGGGTGCCCTTCCCATTCTAAGTATTACTGCATTTTGCTCAGTCAGTGTGCTTATGTGAGTACTTTTTAGTTTACAAAATATTTTCTTTATGGCTTACTACATGGTCAACTGTGATTGTTCCCACATATGTTTTAGAACAATGTTTAATCTCTGGTAAGTGTGAAGTTCCACATAACATTCTATGCTACACACAGTCTCAGTATACTTAGTTCATCTGTTTAATCTATTTTGGAAGAAAAATGCTGGCTTTTATGGTACAGGCTCTGTTAATCACTCCTAGTAGAATACTGGAAGCTCTTTTGTTTTATATATTTTTGGAACTATATTGTTAGGAGCATAAAAGTTCATGAGCAGTGTAGCTTTTGGGGGACTGTGTATTTTATCAATACACAGCCCCCCAAATATTTTATCAATATGAAATACCAATTTTTAATGCCTTTTAATGTGTATACATTAATATTTGCCTTTTTATTAATAACTGAGATAGTCTATAGTGCTTTTGGTTTCATGCCTTACAATATTGAGCAGGCAATAAATGGTAGCTTCTGTAAGCATGAGTATTATGATTAACCCTGTTGTATGCAGGTTGTCTGATCTCTTTGGGGGTGAAGAGGAGAAGAAGATTGAAGGACAGTGGGTTAATAGAGAATGCAGCTCCCTCCCCAGCCCTGCGTAATGATGCTTCGAGTTTCCTCTCTCACAAGCAAGGTGATGGAAACTCCGGGAAAAAGAGGCCCCAGGCTTGGACAAACCCCCAGAAATCCTGCCAACAGAGGTCTCTTAGGCAGCCAAGAGAATATAACTGAAACATATTTCTTGTTGGATCTTGGCCTTTGTGCTTTTGAGGCCCAAATGAAACTAAGAAGGGAAAAATAAAACAAGATCAGACCCAGTATAGTAACTGTGTTCCTGCAGCTAGAAGGTCAGGTTTATCTCTTCAGAGATCCCCGAGGATTCTGGCTCACTTGAGCCCCCAAAGCAATGTCCCCAGCAGTCATAATTCTGCACCCCCTGAGCCCCCTGTGCCTGCCAAACTCAGATACGTTTAAGGTTCAGGTCTCACCCCCTCACTCCTGACACCTCCTCCTCTCAAGGCTTCCTTGTAACTGGGCCCATTTCTGTCTTGGTTGTTGCTCTTACTCCAGTTGTGATGTTCACTGCTGACTGCTGACGTGCTCTCAGCAAGCGCACGTGCATGTGTGTCTGTCTCTTCAGAACCCAAAGTCGGGGTAGCTTTACTAACTGACTGAGTCCTTCCAATCTCTTGACCTTGACAATCCCCTCTTTCACTTGCTGAAACACTTCACTTCTCTTTGCCTTGCTGCCTGAAATTCACAAAATTGTAAGTTGCCTTAGAGATTAATTGGTTCAAGCACCTCATTTTACTGAAGTGGGCGGTGGAGCCCAGAGGTGACATTATCTGTCCCAAATCACACAGCTAGTGAGAGGCAAAGTGGGACTGGAGCCCAAGTCAAAGCAATAGTGCTGGGAAGTGAGAGCTGACAGTAGGATGGCAGAAGGGGGAAGTCCTTTGTGACTGTAGGGGATGGGGCATCATGACGAGCTGGAGCATAATATCACAAAGAGGTTGCTTTGGGCAGCTAACATGAAAAATGAACTACAAATGAATAAAGTTACAAAAGTATTTTTCATGGGGAAAAAAAAAATGAAGAACAGAGGTGGAGAAATTAGGTTCCAGGAGGTGGGTGGTGGGTTGGCAGGTACCAAACGCATCTGCTCTCTGTAGTTCTGGCCCTCCCACACAACATAACCGAATAAACTCCACTGGTAACAGCCACACAGCAACAATGTCAACTCATATTTGCAGTGTTCAAAAGTCTTTCCACCTATGTTCATTCATAAGTTCATTCTGTGAGGAGTTGCTGCTACTATCATACCAGTTCAGGGAGAACAGCATCAGCGACAAGGAAGGTACATAGCGGATCTCTTTGGGAGTACGCTGGACTCCGCTGGGTGTCAGTTCATCACCACCCTCCACTTTTCCAACCCCCTCCGTTTTCCACAAGTAGCTTTCTGTGCTACCACCCTCCCCTGGCCTCCCACATTCATGAGCCTTGAGGTGACGACCACCCTCCAGGTTTTAGGGGTAGGCTTGATTGGCTTAGAGATAATTCCATTTCCTGGCCAGAGGCAGAAAAGGGCATGTGATGCTAAGCGGGCCACGGAGACATGGTAAAAAGCCATGTGCGACAGTAGTCTCTCAGGAGAGCCCTTCTTCAGTCTTCTGGGGAAGCAGTGGGAACCTCTTTTCCTTTCTCAGTAGACGAGAATGCATAGCCATGCCCTTTGCTACAGGACCAGAAGACAAGCCAGCTTCAGGATGGAGCTGACAGAGGACAGTGAACCAGAGAAACAGAAAGAAGCTGGTATGCCCAGTAAGATCTCACCTCACTTTTGGACTTGTTATCATGTAAATAAGCCAAACTATCTCCTTTAGAGACCAGCTGAAGGGGAATTTCTACCGCCTGTAGCTAAAGCATCCTGCTGCGGAGACAAGGAGATGAACGTTATGGTTCCAAGTAAATTCCACTTACCTCTAGAGAGGGTTGACTCTGCTTGACTTTCTATACATTTAGACACCTCTCTCCCACACAGGGTACAATGTGAAGAAGATAGGAAAATATTTTTTCTTGCAGATTCTCCAAAATAGTGTTGGAGTCAACGTTCCTGTGTGGCCATTAGAAGGTGCCACGCTGGAACCAGGCTGTCTGTACTCAGACCCTGGCTCCCTCAGCTCCCGGCGGAGGACAGGTAAGGAAGTTGCTGGCTTGTCGGTGCCTCTCCGGTTTCTCTGTGTGAGTAGCATGGGAAAGTGACAACCCAGAGTTCTCGAGAGGGTTCAATAGACTGATAAATGCAGCGAGCTTAGAGATGTGTCTGTGTAGTAAAGGCTCAAAGCATCTTATTTTTATTGTAAATAAAAGAAAGCATGATTCAAAAAGACGTCGTTATCAATATTATCGTCTATTCACATGTTACTTGTCATAGGCCAGGCATCTGAATAAGTACTTTATATATATTTTCTCTAATTCTAACAATAACCCTCTGTAGGAGGATTCATTCACTTATTTCTAGATAAGGAAATGGGTGTTTACTGAAGCAAGTGATGTGGCTGAAGAGGCATGGCCAGGTGCCACAGGGCCGGGATTCGAACTCAGCGATAGCTCCAGAACCCACTTTTCCCACTGTACCCTGCACCTTCTTAGAACAGCTCCCAGGGGACCATCCTGCTGGGGTAGCAGTGAGTTCGGGGTCAGAGACAACCTTCAGCAAAAGCTAGGAAAAAGTACAAAATGGCAGAATGTGTGGGTGCACATCTGTATCCCCAACACTCTAGAGGCTGAGGCAGGAGGATTGCACAAGTTCAAGGCCAGTCTGTCTACATAGTGAGTTCTAGGCCAGCCTGGAACATGTTGCAAGACCCTGTCTCAAAAAACAAACACAGCTGCGCGTGGTGGCGTACACTTGTAATCCCAGCACTCAGGAGGCTGAGGCAGGAGGATCATTGTGAGTGCAAGGCTGGCCTGGGCTACAAAGTGAGCTCAAGGCCAGCCTGAACTGTATAGAGACACCCTGTCTCAAAAAGATGAAAAAAAAAAGGAAAGAAAGAAAAAGGAAAAAAGTCAAAATAAAAGGCAAGCCACAGAAGAATCACAGGTATTTGGACATACAGAGAAAGGCTGCAGCCCATTTGAAGCTCCTCCTTGAACTCTATGCCCTTTACTGAGTGGACAAAATTGTGATGAGGGCTGAGCAGTGTTCGCAGGTCTCAGAAGACAGAACGCACTAGGGATTCTTTCAGCCTTGGAGAAGCGAAGAGGAAGGGAAGGGTAGAATTAGAAATTCAAATGGCATCTAATGAAATCGCACTTGAGAGCAGTTATTAACCCCAAGTTGGCTCATTCCTTTAAATCTTGAGCCTGTCTCAGTGTACTATACATTAAGTGCCAGAAATTATTGATCTTTCCGTTCCTATGGCTAGTACCCGTCTCCACCACTGAAATGGAAAGAGGCAATAAATGCTGAATAAGATCTTTCTCCAGTGAAGACCTTCAGTGAACACACTTTAAAGAAAGGGTGGAAATAATGAGCATCTTCTTTCAAAAATGGAGACCTACTGCAGAATGAAAACAGGTTGCTTTGGAGAGGATGCTAAGACTTTAAAAAAAAAAAATAGTTATGTTCACCCCAGGCACATTCATTGAAATAATGAAATAAGAATGTTGTTTGTGCTCATTTAGAAAATGCTTTCCTAGGCAGAGTAGATTGTTAAAAAAATATGTAAGATAGTGTGTTAGAGAACTTCACTGGATGACCCTGACATAAGTCTAAAACAAATCTCTGCTTTTAAAGTTCTACTAGTAGAGTAATTAGTGTGTGGGCTGGGCATGGTGGTGCATGCAATCAAGACAGCACTCTGGGAGGCTGAGGCAGAAGGATCCCAAGTCTGAGCTCATCTTGGGCAAGTTGGTAAGACTCTGTCTCAAGATAAAAAATAAAAAAGGGCTGAAGATGCAGCTCAGTATGAAGGCTCTGTGTTTGATCCCTGGTACTTAAAAAAAGTGTAGTGTTCCTTGCAGAGCTGTCACTTTTTCCTAAGAATACTATTGTTGCTGTTTGCAAGGTCTTTGGTAAATTATGGCTTTTCTCCTTGCTCGGGTGGACCACCACTAATTAGGATAATTATTAAGATATAAGATAATGTTTCAGGCTAAATTAACAGTGCCGAGACACAGAGAATTAACAAAGCGTGGGATGGAAAGATACAGGAGATGGTAGAGGCTAAGACTAGGACTTCACTGCAGAGTGAATGGGATTTCTGAATAGGTCACTGGCCAGATGATAAGAATGATCGGATCTACAGAGATCTTTGACATTGGCTAATGCTTGATTTGCCTGGTTTAAAAGGATAAATCTGTGGAATAGGAGCTTCATCAACACTACCCCCAACGTGAATTACAGAATTGCAGCCAATTTCTAGATCTGGATAAATTCACAATGCAGAGCTTCCTTTTTTTTTTTTTTTTGTGGGGCTGGGGATAGAAGTTCATGGTGGTCCCCAGCATCTACAGCATGAAGCTCGCAAGCTAAGCACACCCTGCCACTGAGTTATACCCTCAGACCAACGAAGAGCTCTCTCATTGAAGGAGTGGTCATTATACCTGAGAAGGTATTTGTACCAACATCTAAAAGAACATACTGTGAATCTTGTACAAGAGATCTTTTACAAAAAGATCTAATTTCTTGGTGCCCAGAACCACAGTAATATTGAGACTTATATGAGAATTTAATATATAAATAAATATTATTTAATAAATATTAAATAATAATATTTATTATTGAGACAAATAAATTTCCAAGGGGGAAACTTCAGAGATCAGCATCATCTCAAAGATTCAAAAGATGCAAGCACGGCAATGGCTACCATATTCCTGTTCAATTCCGATTTCCATTCAAACCAGCGAAGATGAAGGGCAGTGTTGACTCAGAGTGGGCCATCCTCAACATAATTAACTGGCATTTCCAATGGCAACTTTTATTCCAAATAAAGTGTTTTTCCTGTTTTGTTATCTATTTGCTTTTGTGGTGCTTGGGATTGAACCTAGGGCCTCAGACATGCTGGTCAGGTGTTCTACCACTGACCTATACGTCCAGGCTCCCAAGTATGTTTCTTACTAGAGCAAATCAATACCACTGACACAGTTAATGGCACAGTTATAGCATGGTTAATAAGGTTATGAGCTTTTTTTTTCAGCAGCCCAGCAAATATAAGTACTTAAGAGGGGCTGCTTTCACTCGACAAGGACAACAGCATGATTTCACTGACCTACTACAGCGACACATGAAGTTTGTCACAGCGCCAT